TTCTTTGTTCCAGTAATTTTTTTCATCCAATTCCCATTATTGATAACTGGCACTATTTTAACACTCCTATCAGGAGGAGTACATTTTATGCTGCTATTTTACTCACAAGATTCATGTGTTTGTCAAAAGCAATAAGGTATCCAGCCAAGACACTGCGCAGTCCTTTGTATCTCCTTGTCCAAACTTTTATTTTGCGCCTCTCAGTAAGACAAGTGTGAAGTATTCTGAAAGGTCCTTGACTAAGATCTGTGTGAGCAGAAAATAAATTTTAATATGCTGTTTTCATAATAGAAGATGTTAATAGTAAATTTAATTAAACATGATTGCAAGGATATCTACCATAGATGATCTAATTACTTTTTAACCCTTTAAGCCCTAAAAGCCCGATTAAACAGTTTCAACATTTGACCAACATTTGTTCAACAAAAGTTGAACGGAAGTTGGGCAAATGTCGAAATCGTCCAAAAAGAACAAAGGAAAAATTGGATCGATCTTGAATGAAAGTTTAGACCAATTTAAACTTGATTCAACACCCTTTCAACAAGCTTTCAACAACTTTTATGTTTTCAACAATGTTGGATGACCTGTTCAAACGCATCAAACATTTGGTTCAACAAAGTGTTGAATGCAAGTTTAAGCAAATGTTGAAACCATTTAAATGGGCCTTAAGAGTAACTTCAAAGAAAATTTTCTTTACAGCATCACTGCTGAATCAAATATCAAGGTCATGATAATAAGGAAAATCATTGCAAAATGAAGAAGCTCTTGATTGTCAAATTCTCCTGATCAGCACTAAAGGACATTTATGAGGAGCATTATGGAGAATATACATATTAATGTAAGGGTAAATGGGTTTTGAATTCACCTTTGGAAAATTTAAGAAATTTGAAAAAAAGTAAGAATAATTGTTTTGATAATTTTTTAAGTGTAAATAAATATATATATAGTGTTAAGGAAAAAACAAACAGAGCACATACACCCTACAAAAATTTAACTTGGGTAAACTGGAACTTATAATGTATAACTTCTATTTTATGCCCATGCAAGAAAAGAACTTGGTACAAATGACACTGCTGAAGTGGTTAGAGTTTCAGATTAACATGCATGTTCAAGTTTACTATTCCATTAGAATAGAATTAACCCACATGCTATACAGCAATTATAAATTTTTTACACACACTTTACATGAATGCCTAGTGCCCTGATACAAACAGAGATGTGATGCGATGCAATGTCAGTCTACCCCAAGAGAAATACACTGTACCCCTGCCCCATGCCTACAAACACTATATGGTCATGAACACCCCAGACAAGCAGAGAAAATTATTGCATGCTTGGCGATCAATGCTTGACTGATTTAATAGAGGGACTTGCATCATTTCAGATGCATCAGATCAATATGTTTGATTATCCTTAAGCTGACCTATGGACATTTTATCTCATTAGTCTAAAGTTTGAACATTTTGTGGATTGGCACTGTAGTAGTGAAAAATTTAAGAGATTTAGCCAGTGGGGAATACATTTCTACAGTGACTAGCACTACTCTCAAACTCAAGATAATCCTAAAGAAGAGACTTGAAACCTTTGAAGATTTTCTAGCTTTTGTCATGAACTGGACATGATACACTCTGTAGGTAATAAAATATAACTATAATTTTTTTCCCACATTATCACATTCAATAGAGAAATTCAAAACTTGGTAAAAACATCAGTAACATATTCTGAAGCTTTTAGCCTATGTCGTCTACATTGATTGTGAACAACCTCTTGGCAAATAGAATCAATTTCTTGAATTGATGACATGCACAACTCCTATAAGTTCAGCCTTAGTTCAGTATCATCATGGTTAATGGGAAGACAACAGTTTGAACAAGTATGAAGTTATTTCTAGGTCGCTCAATTCAGACGTTCACCATATTTTAGAACACTCTGCCAAATGTAACTATGAGTTGTTAAATAAACCCACATAATAATTATATATTCATTATTGCCTTGGAGTTGACTCCTGGGAGTCCGCGCACAGAACATTAGTAACTTCCCCATCCTCAAGCAAAATTGTTCCACAAATCTACCACTGTTCCACACAGCAAAAAATCAGAATAAAAAACCAGCCTTGTTGACCCTACCTTCCATTTTTTGTATCACATCCACTCGCTTCTTCTTTCGTTGTTGTGCTTTATATGTTTCCTCGGCCAGCATAAATTCGTGCAGTTTTGCGTCTTCCACTCGTCCACCAATCTTTATCTCAGTTTTTCTGTTCTTAGCGATAAATGCTTTTGATTCAGCAATTGCCTTAAGTCTTTCTTGCAGACCTTCCTTCTCAGCTGGTTTGTACTCCGGTTTAAGATTTTTCGTTCTAGAGGCAGTCTGTGATGCTAAAGATTTCACACTTTTCGCTCTATTCTCCCTAGAGACTGTGGTTGTCTTCGTCTTTCCTTCCTTGATTGCAATCGCATATTCGACCAAATTATTGAATACTTTTATGTTAGGGACGGGTGGTTGAAGGTCTTTGGTGTACAGAGCTTTAAATGGATCGAACTTTGAGGATAAAAAATCCAATTCATCATTCACCTCCTTTCGGGTAGTTTTGGCCGCCATCTTAAATTGTAGTGGTTACTAAGCTTTCACCTGTACTCGTCTCCAGTAATACGCGTCCTAGAGGTAGGAACAAAGAAGACTCCTACAAAGCATAACTTTGTATATTTTGATAGCTTCTTCCAGACCATCTGTTCGAATGATTTATTTGGCTTATAGAACATCATAGATCCTATAAGATGACCCGTAGGCGGTTCGGCACCCTAGTTCCGACTTTGAAATTGATCATCTTGACTCCTGACTTTAAAATTAATCATTTTACTTCAAAAGTTTATCATCTCGAGTCCAAATCTACTCATTAATACAGGGTGAATAACCAGTTGAAAGCTGAGTTTTAGGACGACTTTAAAAAGGAAATTATGTTCTAAGGATCAAACTACTCAACTCACATTATTTATTTGAAGAACGTCGGCATACGGAAGAAAAATTATTTAGAAAACAGTCAAACCCTGTAATGGATGGATTTCATGTTTCACTCGTAAATACGGATACCTTTCGGAAAAAAGGATTTGCTGAGGTGGACAAAAAACACATTTTTCTCCCAAGACTCCTTTGATTGTTATTTCTTCAATCTACATTTCCTTGGGAAAACCGTCAAAGGAAATCAAAGGGGCAGGTATAACAGTATAATCCGTTTATTTACATAACCGACAATAACAAACACTTCTATACTGTTTTACCTCCGTAGTCTCAATATTTAGATCAGTATTTGTCGTTCTACATAGATGAATTTTTCTCAATTTAAAATTGAGTTTTCTATGCAATTTACATACGTCACAATGACAAAAGACAATAAAAGGTGCCTTGTATTGAATAATTTATATTTACACTGGTATTTTAACAGTTAGTGTTTAAGACGACCACGGCTATCACATGAAGAGCCCTAGAAATTGTTGCTTTTTTATGTCTTCACGCTGGTTAAAACGAGTTGCTTCAAGTATTTTTCTTCTTGGTTTGGTGGTGGCCATCGTTATTTTATTGCTACCTGGAGAATACGAAAGACATCGCATTCAGAAAATATTAAATAAGACTTTTAATAATACTATGAACAGCGATCCTCAACGACTAAACGTATCTGTGACCGGAAAGGGAATGCTCAGTAATACAGCACCTTTATGATATGATTCCACTGTATACCAAATGGCGACGCCTACATGTCTAAACAACCGGCTGAGCGGAGAGATCTATCTTAAAAAGAAAAACATTACAAAAGCGGAAAGCAACAACATGTCGACATGCGGCGTTGAAACGTCTCCTGCCTTGATGAAGGAGCTCTACATCTTCTCTCACTTGAAACAAGGGATATCACCCACCGATGGAAGATGTAACATATTCAGCTCACGAAACAATACACAGGACAAAGTGAGAGTCACTTATAGACTTCTTACCCGTAAGCACCACTGAGTGGATTTGAAAATGCTAATAACAAAGGAAACAGATAGATCATAACAATGCGCGGCTGCGCCATGCAACATTAGTTGTTATTTGATGAGGCTTTTGAATATCTATGCTAATTTTATGTTCGGCTTTTAAAATGTAATTTACATTTCCTAAAATAACCACTAAAGACAACTGTAAGGTACGGATCCGAAGATATATCCGTACGGTCATAAGGGTAACAGTCCACCGACATTGCAGCTAGTGGCTTTTTTTAACACAGGCTAAACATCAACATATTTTCAATGATCAGTTGAAAGGTTACTCTTGTCAGAAAAAGCTTCATTCATTGACATACGGCCCTGTGTTTCTCATTAAAGCGATAAAATTCATGAATGCGATTCAAATTTATCCGTTAAACCACCAACAAAAGGGATTAGCGTGTTCCAGAGCGCCTAAAGAGCGACTGCAAATAAATTGAGGAAGCAAGGAGGTATCGGGGTACCGCTTCACTTTTAAATTAAACTTCTTTTTTCCTTCTCCATTTTTCATCTTTCTGGGCTGCTGTCAGATAAATTTGGGCTTATTTAAATAAATTAACCCCTATAAGGTAAACTAGGAGCGTACAATACAATGCAAAAAGAGATGGTGTTAACTGTACACATTTGTTCTGGTTATCTACGTGGAGATTGACGAACTGGAGTAGGTCAAATCCATAGTACTTAGAGCGAGAAAAACGCGGAATTCATTGGTTGAGGCACGCAAAAAAATCCACTATGGTAATGGTAACCCTGTCTGTCGGTTTTCGATCGTGTGTCATGACCATGCGCTACAGAGTATAGTTCAGTAGCAGCGAAAAGCGGCTTAAACCACTCGGTAACAAATACTCTTTTGTCTCTTTCATCTCGGTGGTAATTAAGTTTTTTTTGCTCTGAAAAGCCACTCTAAGAACTTCATTCCCAAAATAAAACGCTTTTCGTCCTCAACAGTTATCCACCATCCTTTCCTTTCTTAAAAGGAAATTGTTGGTTGTCCGCTCAAAATCAGTTGTTGGCAGGTATCTTCCAACAGCATATCTTCTTCAAAAAGCGCCAAATATATCGTCTAAAGCTTCGATCTTGTGCTGCGTATATCACTGGATTACACGCAGCATTTAGAACTAGCATCAAGTGAGCGACTGATTTGAAGAGTGGTGACCAAGTGCCTGTGTCCACAGCCACAGACTTACCAGCGAAACATTCGACAAAGAAATAAACGTCGAGTGGAAGACACAAGATAACGTTTACAATAGTAATGGAAAGGACAACTTTGGTCAACTTCTTCCTCTGAAGCATTAAGGAACGCTCAGAAATATTTACGGTTTGTATGTTTCCACCCCATAGGCGATAAACCACCCGGGAATAGAGGCAGGCCTCGACTCCAAGTGGCACCAAACCGAGGACGATACACCAGATGAACACGTCAATTTTCCGAAGGGTATCAGACCAGTTATAGGAGCAAATTTTCTTCTCCTCGTTAAAATTAACAACCCAGAGCGGAATCAGCTCCAGGCTGAATGCAGCAACCCAAGAGACAGCCACCACCAGACGGAGTCTCTTAGCGTTTATTCGTCCGCGAGAGCTGAGCGGATGAATCACGGCAAAATATCTTTCCCAGGCAATGAACACCAAAATTAATATCGATGCTACCGCTGCTAAGTAAATGAAATTTCCGTTAGTTAATGTCTTGCACAAGATATCTCCAGCCAATCCACTGGGATGTGTATAAAGACCAGCGTGAAATGTCCTTGGAAAAGAGAATAAACCAACGAAAAAATCAGCAATGGCGAGATTGGCTAACAAGCAGTTCATAGAAGTCTGCAATCTGCGGTGACACGAGACAACTGCGATAACCAGTGTGTTACCAAACAGGCTTAATGCTATCGACACACCGAATAAGACTTGGAGGACGAGTGTTGTCGCCAATGGCATCTTTATCTTTGCTGTTTCACTTACGATTTACCATCAAACTTCCAATAAACAAGATATTCCGTCGTGTGGCTGTTTTTTGAACTATAGCCCGCCCGACTCTTTCTTTCACGTGCCCATTACTGTTTTGTCTACATGCTTAAAAAAAACCTGCTCAATTGATTGGTGCCGTGTTATCATATTGAAAACATCTCGATAAAACAAAAGCATGGTAAATGGAAATATCTCATTAAGTTAAAACATACACTTCCTAATTCAAAGGTAGTCAAAAGCTGACAAAGATTGCTACAGCCCGGCGGGGTTCTCAACATAATATATTAACCATAATATATTATCTTACTACTGATGTACATCATACTTTCAAGAAATAATTGCCACCTTATTTCTCCATTTTTTTTTGAGTGGGCCCCGAAAATTCACAGATGAAAGTAAAAAAAAAAAACTTTCTACCCGTGAAAGAGATGAAGAAGGCTCTTTAAACTAAACAGGTTCGTTTGGGCGTTGGATAATTTGCACAAAAACGATAAATGACCACTAATGGAAAAGTTACTATTCACTTGAGTTAAGAAAAATTGACAAGTTTAATCTTATGGTGATTTCAGCATTTCAAATTGCGCACCGGAAATGAATGAAGAGCTTAAAAAGTAAAGGTACTGTGTAGAAGAAAATGTGTTGGGTTTTTTTTTTTTGGTGAATTCTGTAAATTTTCCTCGATTTGCAAAAACAAGTCCTTGAAAAAAAGAGAAATTTCCACTTAATAAACGTCGCAGAATTTTGCTACCTTCATCGGATAAAATGTTGTCATTTCTAAAAACGCACACCTGAAAATTTGTTTCATCGAAACCCAAAAAAATCCCCAATTCTCGAACTAAGATTAAAAAAAAAAAACTAAAAACAAAAATCTAACAAGATCTTTGGTAATGTCACAAACCATACGCGAAAGCATTTTAATATTTTGTTCATAAAATTCTTATAAATGGTACTTTAAAATATTTATAGTGAGATGTTAACCTCAAGCATTACTCTCAGTACGTGTTTAACGACCAATAAGCTGCAGTAAAGACTAAATTTGAAAATCACTTATCTGCAATATGGTATAAAAACACATAAAAAATGCATATTCACTTTCTCAAAAAAAAAAATTATTCTCCTTTTCGCCCATTTTAAATACTTGAATCATCCAAACTATTAATTTTCCTTATGCGTTCATGTGTTTCCACGCAGAATGGAATCCATGTTAGGCGCTACTCCTAAGGGCGCCCACTTACCAGAGTTGCAAAATTACGATCATTATACAATCAGCCCGCGAATAAAAAACCTATCAAGCGACTGAAGCTTCCTTTATCCGTGCCGATAGGAGTTTTTCTATTGTTTATACTCCTGTTAAGCGGCCATAAAGCATATCATGCACGTTTTAAATTTGTATGCTGTTTTGAAAACATCACTGATTTCATACCTCGATACAAAACACATATTAATCAGCTCACTAATGGTGTTGCGAGGTTTTTAGGACCTACGTGCTTACATTCAACATACAAAGTACCTTGTTTAGCCCGCACCTTTTATCAATTTTGTGACCAGTCATTCTTACATTTGGAAAATTAAGTGACCACAAGCATTTGTGTCGGGGCAGTTCATAAAACAGAGTGATGTAACTCTATTCCCACCTGACTGTGATAAGTTCAGGTCCACTCATGCAAGCACACTACCGGTCGTTTAGTATTCACTCAGCGAAACGCTTCCCCTGACCATTACGAATATAACACCTTTTAACCTTACATTTTAGTGTGAGTGAGAAAACACTACTACAAATCAGACCTTCGCAATTTTATTTAAGAATCCCTCTTGTCAAAACGGATGAATCATATAATCCATTACGCGTGATTACCTATGGAAGTGAAGTAAGACGATGTGTTTACTAACATCATTATGATTTATAATCATCCATACTTAAATTTTCCTTCCACAGTCGTTTCTTAGATCCGACAGCTTGTAGCTTTAAATCACTACCAAAGAGACTAAGTTCTTGCCATTCTTTATAATCCATGTGCTAAACCGTCAGCTCTAGGATCAGAACCAGACCAATAAACATCCCGTTTAAGTCCATTTTTGCAAGGTGCTTTCTTTCGAGTAATTATTTGACCCCGTCCAAAAACAGTCCTGTTGTGGCCACACACCGGGTATGCGACTTTGTGTCCGAGTTCCTTTAGTTCACTGGCGACTCTTCCGGAAATGCCTTCCTCAAGGAAAACGGACCCAAGGCCTTGGCCTTCACTCTGGATACAAAATCTCGGCATATCCAAAGCTTGTTGAGGGTCCATCCCAAAGTCGATCATATTAAGCAGTACCTGAAACAAGGACACAGCTAAGGTTCACACCTTGCCTTTGCAGAAAAGGAAAGGAAAGGATAGAGGAACATTTATTAATCTGTATTATCATATGACCGTGTGGCCTCGCGCGCTTTTGTTGAACAACTATATGTAAATATACCCGTGTGAAGGCCATATGCAATAATTTCAGAGGGGCCAGAATAAACCGTCTGACCCCGAAAAATGTGAACTGACAGACGAAGGAAAGAAAATGAATGAGCAGCGGTCATATGATAAACTTCGAATTGACTGAGATCGGTGAGGACGGACGGGAAAATATTTGACTCGGGTTATGACATAGGTCCCTGGCTGCACTCGATAATTACTTCTTGTCCTTCAGCCACGCATTTCTCCATCCGGTCCTTCCACTCAGTCAATGAGTACACACCATGCTTGCATCTACCCCCATCTCACCTGCACATGTCCTTGCGGCTGCATAAAGCCCCCCATAACACCAAAACACGCGAACAATTCCCCAGTCTCCTCATGTGTACTCATACCAGGTATGATGGTGTGGTATGGCCTCTTCATTGGCTCTAGGAAATTTGGATGTTCAGGACGAAGCGAAAAATTACTTCCACGATTCTGGAAAAGAGTATTACAGTCAGGAAGTACATTAATTTTACGTTTTATTCTCACAAATTAGGACTGAAGTGTGAAGTTTGAACTTTCTCTACCATCCAAGAATATGATACATCAGCATACAATACCTAACAGGTAAGATAGTTATTCTAAGCTGTTAAAGGAACTTATATTTACAGGTTACCAACCCCTTTTGAGTACTCAAAGGCATTCAGCAGCAAGATTTCATCACCGCTTGTCCATTTGGAATATATCAGACATTACCGAACAGCTCTACACACAAATGTCAATACAAGTCAAGAAATAGACGAACATTGTAAGCGTAATGTACTTACGTGAAGAGTGAATCCGCAACCCTCAGGAACCAGGCCCGTACCAAAGCTATGGTAATTACTGTTGATAAAGGAGCAGGCATTACCCTGAGCGTCAACAACACTAAAATATACAGTGTCACTGCCACTGAATGGTGAACCACGCTCATAGCTTCCCAACGCTCTGTAAAACAAGTAGAGAAAATAAACTTAGCATCACTAACAAGTGTAGCAGGAGTGAAAAAAATTGAAATGAACCTATGGGCCTGCATTTTTAATGGGAGGGAGTGGTGAGGAATAGGCAAAGCTTTGAGGTAGATACAAGAGTCACCTCTGATACGATCTGAACTTCTAAAACATGGCCCCAAATACGCCTAGCAACACGCGTAACCAAAAAGTTTCGGATTACACCCGTTCCTATCAGCGTTGCCGAGTATATTTGCAAATTAAGTTAAATTTTCACCTACAGGAAAAACAAGGTTTCCTCTGCATAACCCACTGTGCAATGGTATACACTATACCCCATACAAGATCCGATCCTAAAAAATGGTTAGATTTTAGAAGCCTAAAAGAGAATAGAAAAACCATTTCTTGCAAAAAATATCCCACTACCAGTGTTTAGGTTAAATGTATTACTCGAAAAGCGAAAAAGCAAAAAAAGAAGAAAAAAAAGGGAAAACTGGCAAACAATAAGAATACTGACCTATGGGCATTGATAAGGGCTCGACGTTTTGCTGCATATTCTTTACACAATAATCCACTAACGGGTACTTTGACTTTATTTGGGTCGGCGTTATACCACAGAGTATCCGCAAAACTTAACGACAAAGCTTCAATTAAGGTGTGGAGATATTCACTAGAGTTATGGGTCATTCCTGGATTGGAAAAACGAGTTTCAATTGTTTAACAAATTTTAAATTCATTTCATCATTGGACTATTATTCTAATAACGCAATATTGTTTTGAATGAATACACTATTACTCCTAATGCCACTTGTTTTACTGCGGTCAGTTGCTGCAACAGTTAAGTAATTTTACTTTAACACTGCCACCACTGCTGTCGCCACCGTGATTGCGGTGAGCATTTCTACTATCGCTACTGTTTGACCATTTACACCCTAACACCAGTATGCAGATTCCCCCCTTTTTTTTCTCTTTACATTTCCTAGGATGCTGACCAGGAGAATTTGTTCAATAATCGAAAACTGCTTTAATTGGTGATCATTTCCTTGATTCTTATTCAGGGGTGTTATTGTGAGGAGACATTAGGTGCTAGTTACTTTAAGGAGTCAAAGGGTTACGCTTCTGCCACTACAACTGTTGCTACTAACCGATACAGCTACTGCTAATATTACTCCTGTTTTTACTACTACCGCAACTGATGTTAGTGCTCTTGCTTCTGCTTCTGTTTCTAGAAACTGCCACAAGTTTAATAGTTAATGTTTAAAGTTCAAATCAAAGAAATCATTATTCTCAAGTATTAAACGTTCTGAACATTTGTGGCACGTTGATCAGGGTGAACAAACCATCCAGTGGAAAGTGGAATATTTGCATGGGTAAAATGTTCTCACGTTTAACCGTCCGTTGAATTACGGCATAATGTTTTACCCCTTTGAAACAACACTTTTCCTTTCTTCGTGAAAATCGAAGTCTTTCTGGTGCTATCATTTACGAGACATTTCCGCGCTTTCTACCAAGACATTGCTGCTTTCAAGTCACCCTATCAGTGGGTCTATAAAAAAGGTCTTAATTTAAGAAACTGATACGGAACTAACTCCTAAAGGATCCCTTTTTTGCGGAAACGCTATTTTGGAAAACACAAAATACTTTGGAAAGTGTTGTTAACAGCACTGCTACAACCAAACACTACTGAAACAAATCCTGTGGTAAAATATCTGTACTTCCTCAAGTGTGAGATTTTTGTTCCTGCTGCTATAAGTTTTCATTATTTCTAACCTTGGATGTCATATCCCTCTAGTATGTTCAATGCCAGTAGTGCAGTGATTCCCTGTCCATTTGGAGGCATTTCCCAAACATTTATCCCACGGTAAGAAGTCTTTATTGGTTCATCAAAAGTGCTGTAATGTTGCTGCAAGTCTTCAAGGGATAACAATCCACCATGCTCTTGTACAACATCAACTATTGCCTTGGCTATACGTCCTTTGTAGAAAGCATCCTTCCCTTTTGAAGCCAAGTCCTACAAAACATCAATTTGCAATGGTCACCCAGTCTACAGCAGCAGAAGAAACTGAATCTACTCATTAAGAGCAAATAAACCAAGTCATTCCTCTCATAAAGGAAAACCACTGGGATAGCACAGGTCAACTTGAAATAAATATTTATTTAGATGTCATTTTCTTTGATTGACATTCCAGGGTTTCCACCCTTTCTGTCCAATTTCCGCATGGCCAGGCTGAGTTACATGCACATAACTGAATGCTTAGCACCCCTTCCAAAAGTTTAATTCTTGTTTCTGTAGCCAGTTAAAATGTTTTTACAGTGTTAGCTCCCTTGCAGCTTTCCCACCTCTACCATCTGCACAGTACATCTGTACTTATTAAAGGAACAAATTATATGAAGTCAGTGTGCAAATTTTGAAGGCACAAAGTGGT